GACCATACCTACAATTTGTTAAGCTCAAACTGAATTCCAATTAGGTTTTTCATTACTTCTGTAGCTTCTCCCAGTTTCCTACCTACAAATTTATTAAGCACACTGTAGTCATTAGCTAGGTTGTTAATACAAAGAGTGACTGGAACCAGAGGTTAAAAAAAAACATCTGCCTTTGTCATTACAATTTTATCCCAACTGTACTTCCTCAGATTGTTCATGAGAACAACCAGATGAGGTAATGTCAGCAGCCTTGCTAAGGTCAATGTGTAAAATTCCTACTAAGTTGTCCATCCTGGAGTGGCCTGTCACCTCACCAATGAAAGAAATACACTTGGTTTGACATTCACATTGTCCTCTTGCACCTGTAGCACCCGTTTAAGTAAGCACTTGGTTCTATTAATCAAATACGGGGCAGGTGAAATGCGAAGAAAAAAAAATGAAGAGAATTTTCACTGCCACAAGACTTTCCCCAAATGTAATCTGTAAAGTAACATCTTAATAAAAGTAAGCAAAGCAATGGGAATGCCCTGTCTATGCTAAATCTCAAATGTGAACTGTTAAGACTTTTTAGTTGCATCGCTTCTGCCCACAATCTTAAAAATCTTTTGCAGCTAAAACTGGATTTGTTTCTGTGTCAACACATGGCAGGGCAAATGAACAGGAATTGGGGGGGCAGTAATTCACATCTGTAAACAAACAATGTAAGATTAATTCTGGGTGTCTACACTTGATGAAGAAGGATAAATCCACCTGGCTTTCTGTGTATTTTAGACAATACCATGGGATATTTTTATACTGTATTAGAAGGTCTTATTGTTTCTTTACAAAACTAGTTGCTTTTCTGACTTAAAAAAAAAATAACATGGCATGATACCATCATTTTGCTTCCTGAGCAAAGGACCTTTATTTCTTTTTTTTATTGCCAGCACTGACTGTAATTTTGTTTGGGGTTACCTCCTCCTCTTATCAGCAGGGCAGTATTCTGAGCCATTCCTCCAAGATCACAAACACAAACAGACCAACATATACTGTCATCTTAGCCTTTAAAGAACTGCTGACATCTATCAGGAACTGGAAGCAATACTGCCCCACCCTAAGGCACTTCCTGATGACCTGAAGACATGATCTGTTCTTTCCAATACCAAACTTAGAATTCAAAACAAGATTATTTGTGAGCTTTTCCTCTCAGCTCAAAGTTCTGCACTCCAGCACAGAGCTCAGTGTCAAAAAGGTGACCCTAATCCTACACCCTTCCAAACTTCAGACTGGAAACTTCTCCATGTTCTGCCACTCACCTAAAAGCTCTCCCACCTTTTCCTGAAGATCCGCTCTAGTGCCTGAGCAAACAGTACACTTTATCAACTGCCTTTTACAACTGTCCCCTGCAATGTTTAGACTTCATCAAGTCCTCTCCAGTCCAGTTTCAGAGCTTTTGGGATCCTTTTCTTTATCGCAGTCTCATGAGCGGTATAAAAGTCTGGTGAAGTAAGATTTCACCTCTGTTCAGCCTTGGCTGATCTGGTCAACTTGTCATTGTTTT